TAATAATAAATCGGAAGAAGGGGAAGAAGAAGAAGAAGAAGAAGAAATAGAAGAAGAAGAAATAAAAGGTGAAGAAGAAGAAGAAGAAGAAATAGAAGAAGAAGGAGAAGAAGAAGATGAAGATGAAGAAGATGAAGAAGAAGAAGAAGAAGAAGGATCATCGACGGAGGCCGAAGGGGCGACGAAGGCCTTCGCAAATCGATCGAGATGGGAGAGAGAGGGAGACGTTTCGCGAATCGGAGAGAGAGCTCTGGCTTGTCGTGAGGAGATGCGAAGAAGGGATGGGGGAGGAGCCTTTTTTTAATATATGCATAATATTATTATAATATAATAATAGTTATTATTATTATTCAATTAACCTCTCCCCGTTCATTTTCGTCGAACACGTCATCACGATAAAATGAACGTCTCTCTTAGGTAAAATTGACGTTTTGGACGCATCGATGTGGTCTATTTTGTCGTCCGAGGTCGTTCGGACCACTTATTTTAGCAATCGGGGCGAAAAGAAAAATTCACGCATTTTTAGCCTGCACGCAAAACCGTGGTACAACGAGTGTCCGTCCTAAGTGGAATCGACATTTCGGACTCACTCGCGAAGTCTGTTTCGTCGTTCGAGATCGTTCGGACCACTTTTTCAGCAAATGAGTCCAAAATGATAATTTATGTTTTTTTTAGCCCGTATTTGAATCGTTAACGACATGGACGCCCTTCTTAAGTAATATCGACGTCCTGGACACACATGACATCAAAAAAAGAAAAAAAAAATGATGCCAACATGTGTGTTATATTTTCATTTAATTTTAACAAATTAAAATCTTTTTTTATACAAGATGCCCTAGTACTTTTAGGTCTACCTCTACCTTTCTTAAAATAAGTCAAATCTAAAGCATCTACTCTCCCAATCAGATCATCAAATAGTCGATGTTTAATGTGATCAAACCATCTTTGACGACTCTCTACTCTTGTCAGCCACTAGAGCTACACGAACCCTTTCATGGATATCTTCATTTTGCATTTTGTCTCTAAGTGTCAAGCTAAACATTCTCATCTCAGCACCGCTTAACTTAATTTAAAGCTTCTCTTTTAAAGGCAAACATTCTGCATCATAAAACATTTCGTGTCTCATTACCATCTTATAAAATTTTCCTTCAAGTCTAAGCGGTACTTTTCTATCAAAGAATAGGCCCAATCCATTTCTCCACTTCAACCATCCAACTTGATTTCTACTAGTAACATCCACATCTATATCACCATCACTTTTATAGCTCATGTATATTCACTTTGTGTGGGCTTAATTGGAAGTTCAATAATTTCTATATGTTTTTGTATTATATGTAAAACTAATTAGATTGTTTTAGTGATCAATTCCTTATAAGTGGTTTCTGATAACTATCTGTTGGTATTTTTGCTGATTTCTCACTTCTAAAAGTCTTCCTTGATGAATCAAAATTTGCGCTCAAGTTGAAAAGTGCTAGTCAGATATATCTTCTTGGGCTAATTAATTCATCTTATGAGGGGAAGTTATCTTTGATTTTCTATCACCTAGTTGACATTTGCTGCTTATCTAACTCAGCGGATGAAGTTGTGGATGCTAGATTATAGGCAACCCTGATTTTTTTCATTAACATAATCCCTATGGCATCTATCTTGGTTATTTCTTTCATGGTGAGTTTTTCATCTCGTAACCAAATTATGAACGGGTTCTTCATGAATGTTAACCCATTATTCAGTTTTTATGGACAAATTTGATTATTTTCCCATTGAAGAATTTGTCTTTAGGCAGTGAGTTGTTTTCTAAACTATCATTCTTGACTATGGCATCATTAAATAAGCCCTATGTTTGGTGAGCTGCTGGCCACTTGCTCTAAAACATCTTTAGTTTTATTCTGTCATTCGTAGTTATGTATGAATTACATGGAGACTAGGGTGAAGGTAACTGGTTTGATCAGCGAAAAATCTTACCAAATTTAGAACTTTGATAATATGACTTGATATGGATTTTGGAAAGCTCTAATATGCATGGGATAAGGTTAGATTCAGTTAAAGTCTACACAAATTTTGTCAGGAGGAGCCATATTTCTTATTCCTTTTTGGACATGTTTAGGGTTGCCGTATTTTCATTCTTTCAGTCTATTTTATGATTCCTGCGTATATTCAATGCAGGTAGATGTTCATGCATATTTAAATAGATTTATAGGTATAATGCTGTATATGTTCATTTATAAGTATAGTTAGTCTTTTTATTGCCACATCCTGTTTCATCTCTAACCTTTCTTTTACTAGTAGCGAAAGTAGCCCTTCTTCTTTTTGTCTTGTATAGGGGAAACTTGGGATTTTTGCTTGTCACGGAAACATGGTGACACGTCAGACTTATAATGTACATCATTCCTAGATGTGTATAGTTGCTGCATGAATTTACCAAATTGATCTGTGTTTTTAAGTGCTTATTTGATGCATGCAAAGTTGATGTTCCAACTGGATTCCTACCTCCCTCTCTCCCTCCATCTCTCTTGAAATTAATGTAGTTTAATTTTGATGTGCACCTTTCCATGATTTTCAATGTGAAATTAAGTACCCACTGAATCAATGGTTTCTTGATTTCCGAGTTTTGAACTCGGGCCTATGCTCCATATTTTCAAAAGTCTTCTTTGCCACTCTTTTCAAAACTCAACTTCTGTATATTCTTGTTAAATTTGTTTAATTTTGTATTGTGCGCATATCATTAAAGAGGTATGGTTGCGTCTGGATTCCTCCGACGGTGCACTTATTTCCTATTTATATTTTTTTGCCTTCGTATGAGATTTTTAATTGTTATAAATCCTGAAGCCTTTCTTCTATTGACAGGACTACAAAGTTCATCGTGATGAGATTCATTCAAAATTGGTTCAGATAATGCGGGAAAGATTATTGATAAATCTTCGAAAGCTACCACAAATTGTTGAGAACTGGAATGCTCCTGAGGATAATGATCCACAGCCAAGTCTTTTTGCTAAAGCAGTCACCAAGGTTTACCTTTAATTTGTTTATCTCCTAATTTTTTCAGTAAAAGGCTGTTGGTCATGTTATCAAGTGCTAACTGCTCTTGCCTCCTAAAAAGTGAGATGGCATTTGATCTCAAAATTTACTTTATTAAATTTTCTCAGGAAGTGACTTACCTTCATCGCATCCTGTCTCAAACATTACTTGAAAATGATGTCCAAGCAATTTTCAGGTGAACATCTTATCTTGTTGGGTTACCAAATTTTGCAAATAACTATTTTTATTTCTCGGATATTTGCTCTAGAAGGCGCATGCATTTTTTTCCTTTCTTGAGAAGATCTGTATATGGTATAAGCAGGGTCTATACAAGGTATGAGATGTCTCTGGAAGTCACATTGTAAAATGATTAACTTGATGAATTGGATTTAGTTTCCTTCGTTTTTATATGCTTGCCAAATTCACTTTGTGCTAGAGGAATTGGGTAGAGAGTAATTAATTGTCTTGACGAAATGGTGGTGTTTTTAGCTAAATTTCAACAACTTTTTATTCAAAGCCTTGAAAGCATTAGATAGGGGATTCGATACCTGCATTTAAGTCATTTTATCTGAGAAGAAATGCCAAAATGGCCCCTGACTCTTTTGCAAGGGGTCATTTTAGTACAAGTGTCTATAAAGGTGTGTCAATTTAGTCCCCAAATTCTTTTTATAGGGGCTAAAATAATCCCCTTATTGAAACAGAGGATGGGAACAAATTCGGCAATTTTATAAGACTTCGGGATTAAAATGACCCCATGTAAATAGTCTAAGTTACTATTCTGACACTCTGTTCTTTTATCTAAAGAACTATTTAACTTATTTATATCCCCTTTGCCTGTGTATTATGTTTTCTAAAATTTTATTCCACAATAAACTTGTTTAGATCTGATATGGAAGTAGTACAATTATAGAATTCTTCTGAAATCTAATCCTTCGGGTATTGAAATTGACATATGGAATGTTTGCGAGAACTTGCTAATCCAAATCGGGTCATTTTTTTCATCTTCAAGGATAGTGCCTGAATTGGCTGCATATTTTCTTCGGTGACATCATCCCATAACTTATTTTTGCAGGCAAGTTGTACATATTTTTCATTCTCATCTTTCTGAAGAGTTCTCAAAAGTGGATATCAGCACACCTCAAGCCAAGAATCGGTACGATATGATTTGCTCTCATGATTTTATCATTCTGAAAACTTATCTGAAGATCTTGAATGCTTTTCTTTCTGTTTGCCAGACTCTACCGTGATGTCCAGGTTATACTTGGATGCATACGCAAGTTGCCCTCTGATGACTCCAACAGAGACAGAGTGCCAAACTACGGTCTGCTTGATGAATTCCTGGAAGAGAAATTTGGAGAAAAAGGCATTTCAGATCATTTAAAGTAGTATTTGATTGAGCTATAGTCAGATTCTTTGGGGGAATTTGAGTGAAAAACACTGGCGTAGCAACTTTGGTTGCAATATCACTCAGGTTAGTTTCATTTTATGTGAAATTTATGCCGAGAAAGGTATCAAAATAGTTCCATGACTCTTTGTAGGGGGTCATTTTTAATCTGTCTATATAAAAGTGACAATTTAATCTTCGTACTTTTTTATTAAAGGCTTAAATAGGCTTCATTTCAGTCCTCATTAAAGAGTGGGGGGATTAATTTAACACTTTTATAGGTTGGTACTAAAATGACCCAATATAAATAGTCAGGGCACTATTTTGAGACTACTCAATTTTTGCCTCTGCTATTGTTTTTGAGTTGAAAACGGTCCTTTTTTTTTTGTGTTCTGGATGAGCTGACATTTTTTTTTTCCAATCCATCACCCTATCCACAATCAAAACCCAAACCGGCCTGTCATTCCCTTCATAACATCCGCAATCCCACAGGAAACAAATATTCTGCATTTTCGAAATCTATGATTTTATATCTGTTTTGCTCCGTGTACTTGACTGATTACAAACATTTTTGGTTTGGCTTCATTTCCTTCTGATATATATATATATCATGAATTTGCTATTTATGACTAAAGGATTTGACGCATCATTAATCTGTTCAAGTTGATGGTCATCCTTAATCCTTTTACAGGTGTGCCTTTCATCCATTTTGATAAGGAATTTATCCAACGAGGCTGCTGCTTAATTTGTGAGCTTCTCAATAGAGGTGTTTTGAAGCGAAGTATTCATCTTTTCTTCTTCGTCCTCATAGTTCCATCCTTCTTCTTTTGCCCTTAATTTATTGAGCTATTTGATGAGATGACGCACACAATGCCATCTTCCTTTCCTTCAATTTTTTTGTTGAATAAATTTAGCTTTGTAGATGTAAGTTTATGAAAAAATTTCTCAATCACTTGCTGTAAGTTTCCATAGATACTGAATGCCTCGTTCAATTGCTTGGATCATGGCTTCTGTACAGAACATATTTTTGCAGTAGTAAAAATATATATATGATTTGCATGTAGAGTTAAGCTCCCTCAATTGCTTGTTAAGCACAATCCTCTTTATACTGTTTAACTATTGTGGGAATTTTTATATGCTTGCCATACAATTCTTATGTATTTGCATATTTAACACTCAAAATATGATGTTTAAAATTTATCATAATATAAAAGATTAGCATTGTGTTGAATACACATTCTTTTTTTTTCTAAGATGGTAGCTGCACCCTATTTTTTTTAGACAATTTTGCATGCGGACAGTCTTGACGCAGCTCTGCATCCGGACTCCAATATAATTAAGCCAACTTCACAAAATTTTAAAAATTGTCTGCACCCGAACTCCAATAAAATTAAGCCGAGCGTATAAAATTTAAAAAATCACTTGCATTTCAACTCATAAATTTTTAATTTTTAAAAGAACGGTTATCTGAAATACAACTGAAGTCGTGTTATTGGAGCCCGTGCGCAAAGCTGCGAAATTATTTCCTACTTTTCATCCATCATGCCTTAACAGCAGGATTTGAATTTCTTACTTCTTTTTATTGCTGTTCAGCCCCTTTTATATAGAGATCAAATATGATATCACTGAATCATAAGTTCTATTTCATAATTTTTTTAGAATGGAATCACATTATTTCAATGTTAATTCACAGGCGTTGTCTAATGAAGAGGGTCTGAATTGTGATATATTGTACGTTAGCTAATGTCAACCCTAACGAAGGTTAATTAGAAAAATATTTTGGATATTTTTATGGGGCATTTACAGACATACCACACAGTTCTTTCATATTTATATATCTAACACCTAGACTTTTGCATTTACTCACATAACACTCAAATTTTTGACATCATATCAAAAATATTTTCATGCCATCTTTTTAAAGTGGTTCGTACATTTTTATGCATAGATTTTTAATAGAATTCAGCTCCTTTACCCATTGGCGAGCTTGAACTCCAATTGGCTCATATGATGAAAGGACAATACATAATCAATTAAGATTTATGTGACACTTAATTTAAATAAACTTAATAATTTCACCATCTAAAAATACTAAAAATACATTGGAGAACTTAAATATATAAATTAAATTTTTAATATGACATTAAAAATATCACTATTATTAATTTCTTAAAATTAAGTTATTACTTCACTTCAATTTTTATTATCACATTAAAGATATCATGAATATTAATATTTTTATATATATAACACTAAAATATTAAAATTAGTGATTAAATTTTTAATATTAAATGAAAATTACTTTTAAGTATAATCAAATTCTTAAAAAAATTTCGTGTTCGGCTTGTTAACTTAACAAACAAATAAAATATGAGCTTCTCAGCGAGCCGAACACGAGATATTCGCTAACAACAGCTGTTTTAACAGAAGTAATGATATGTATGAAAAATGAAAATATAAGTATTAAATATATAAATACATAAGAAGCAATTGGTATATGTATAAATTTCCCTAAAAAAAAAGAAGAAAAAAAAAAAAAAAGACTCATATGGCATGCATTCAAATTCACAAAGAATAAAATTTGCAGCGTAATATTCGTGAACCGTTTAGAGTCACGACACGAACACAGCGAACATCGTTCCGACGCTCCCATCCACCTTCGTAATCGGCGGCGGAGAAAAGCAGCGCAAGGAAGAGAAACCAGAAAGAAATTCAGGTGAAAAAAATCGCCACCAATCATGGCGGCTTCGAAATTCAGGGCTCTCGGGGCTGTTATGGCGGCGACGGGAGCGTCTTGGGCGGCGGCAACCCTCCTTTCCTCGCCGATTTCCGCTGGTGATCGCGGTTCCACTGCTGCGTTGGAGAGCTCGCGTCGGAGGATCGCTGATCCGGCGGCCTTCGTGCCCTCTAGGGAGGTTCAAGCGGCTGCGTTGATGGGTGCTTCTGCGGCTAACCCCCTTGACATTCTAGTGATAGGCGGCGGTGCGACCGGCTGCGGTGTGGCTCTCGATGCTGTATCGCGCGGGCTGCGAGTAGGGCTCGTCGAGAGGGAGGATTTTTCGTCGGGGACCTCGTCGCGCTCCACCAAACTTATTCATGGAGGTGAGGCGATTTATAGTCGCTCGGTTTTTTTTTCCTCCCATTGTGGTGAAAGCACTCCCTTTCCCCTTTCCCCTTTCCCGGACATTGTTAGAACAAATCGGTCACCCAGTTAAGAAAGCTTATGGTTATACACAATTCGGATGATGTAATGTATAATTGAAATTAAATGGTGTAAATGGATTTGCTTCTAATTATAGAAATTGACTTTTCATAGTTATTGTTATCACTTGTGCTGCATGGGAGGAGAAAATGTACATGCCATTACATTGCAGACTTTAAGAATGTAAATGCTTGGCAGAAAATTTGAACTGCATTGGAAAGAGAAACCATCAACTAAAAGAATTATAAAATCAATGTTAGGGCATAAGCTCACTCTCTGTATGGTGAGATACTAGTGGTACTGGTTCCAATACTCCCGAACTTGTGTATTCTTAGGTTTCATTTGGGATCACTTTTATTTTTTAATTATATTTTGTTTGTTTATGTTTTGATTTGAATTAAAACATGTTTGGCTGTGATAGTTGTTTTTAAAAACACTCGAAACATATGTTTTGACAGTTTTTAAAAATAAGGTGATTTGCTTTTAAGAACAAAAACTAAGAACACATAAAAATTATTTCATCCAAACATGTTTTCAAAAATGCACATAAAATCGAAAACAAAAGAAGAAGACAAAAGTGATGCCAAACGAGCCCTTAGTGTATGTTTATCTACTACCCCAACTACAAAAATGGTAAACAAAAAAAAAAAAAAAAATTAAGGGACTTCATAACTCATAAGTAATAATTTTTTGGTTGAATACCACATGTTAAAATTTATTTGCTGTAATTGGTGATTTGTTAGACATGGTCTTAAATTTCAAACTTTTTAGCTCATTATTTTTAGCCCATTAATTGGAAGGGCTTTATTTTGAGTATTTTCCTTTTAATTGATCTACTTAGTAGTTACTATTCATAAGTCAAACTTATCGAATGAAAGTAGTTTGGTCGAGATTTTTATGCTGATATCATTTCCTTATACCTTTTTCTAGTTGATTTTTTTTGGTTATTTACTGTTATACTCATGTAATAAGTTTTTACGCTTTCATATACTAAACTGCTTTTTACAGGGGTGAGATACTTGGAGAAAGCTGTGTTTAATCTTGACTATGGACAGCTTAAGCTTGTTTTCCACGCGTTAAAGGAGAGGAAACAAGTTATTGAGAATGCTCCTCACTTATGCCATGCTTTTCCATGCATGACACCTTGTTTTGATTGGTTTGAGGTCCTGTATTATTGGGTTGGATTAAAGATGTATGATCTTGTAGCTGGTAGAAGAATGCTGCATTTGTCCAGATACTATTCTGTAGATGAGTCAATTGGACTCTTCCCTACACTGGCCAGAAAAGGCCATAATAGAAGTCTCAAAGGAACAGTGGTTTATTATGATGGACAAATGAATGATTCTCGTCTGAATGTTGGTCTAGCTTGCACTGCTGCTTTATTGGGTTCATCAGTGCTTAACCATGCAGAAGTAATATCCTTAATTATGGATGAGTCCAACGAGCGGATAATTGGTGCCCACATTCGAGATAATCTGTCAAGTAAGGTCCAATGAAACACTTGTTTAATTAGATATGATGCTTTCTTCTTCATGGGCTTGACTATGTTTTCTCTAAAGTAAAGTGAATGTTATTGTGGCATTTATTGGAGGTTCGCTACTCTTTCTTATTAGCTTTGGTTTGTAACTATTTTTCTACTTCAGTACCCAGCAATGGCACTTTTGTGCTTGATTTTAATATAACTATGCATATCATATGCTCATTAGCTTGAGATTATTAGTTTTATTCCTGATCATAAATCTTATGGATTTTTCTGCTGCCATTGGTGGAAATTTTTTGTTTGTTTCTGTAAAAAACTCACATTTTACTGCATATGTACAACGCTTGAGCTTTGTTGATATTGGCACCATTATCTCACAGTTGCCATATTCTATGGAACTGGATTTCACCCTCTTTTTTTTGCCCTTAACCCTATGATTGTTAACTATGCATTTGTTTCGATGGACTGTCTTCTAATATTTGTATTGTTTGACATTTATATGATAAATATAGAAATCCTGAAGAAACTCGTTTTACAAACTACTTTGATGAGTTCACACTAACAAATGAATGGCCCGTGTGCTGCAATTGAAGATCTTCTTGCTTTTTAGTGTTTCCAACTTCAATTGATGAGATTATTTTAGTAGTACCAGACTGAAGATGACTGCGGAGCCATTTGCTTGGCTTAGTGTCCATGTGGCATTTCAAGAGTGTCCATTGTTAGGCATCACATGGTGTTTCCTGCACGGAGCCTTTCACATGGCTTGGCGTATACATAGTACGGTTCATGCATGGGTTAGCATACATGCGGTGTTACTCACCATTTTCTTCTTTCACGTGTGGCTTAGGTGTGGGTATTCTATGAGAAACTTTTTGGTTCAGAGTATTATAGTTGATGGCGACATCCAAGTCATGACATCCCTATCTCTTATGACTTATGCTCTTTACCCCTCTAGCTCTTAAGGCATCTCACATCACACCATCCTCTTTTTTCTCGTAAGTTGTAGATGTTTACTCTTTTTCTCATGTTTGTGGTCACACATGGTCTCTCCCGTTCATCACTATTAAGGGATCTTATTCACTTCTTGTTTATCAGCTCTCTTCGCGTCACAACTCCTCTTGCCATGACTTCTTAGACCTTGGTTGACCCTAGTGCGGTCGCCAACCATTGTGACCCTTAGTGCTTTTGAGCCTGTTGCCCGTCCTTCATCCCTTGTGGTTGAGCTTCCCTCACCTCATCTTTTGCACTCTTTTGTGAATATTATTTGCAGCTCAAATGTTGCATATATTTTTCTCTTTTTACGCTTTCTCCAGTTTTCTTCCATCATAATTCGAAGAATTATCAGCATAAATAGCCTTATTTTTCTTGAGGAAAGCCTGTTGTCATCTTTTATGATTTTGACCACACTTCTTAGTGAATTTTCCACTGTTCATCTGAATATGGGAATAATTGACAAGTTTGTGCTTGATTTTTTGTTGGTAGTTGAATATTCTGTTAGGTTTTTTAACCCACAGTGTATCCATAATATTTATAAATAAATTAGATTAGACTCTTCTTGCAGTTCGATATATATGTTAAAATGATCTTACATTTTGATTGCTCTATGGGCCCTCTATTGTATCAATTTAGATCTCATTTTTATGATTTGTCTGTACTATTTTTGATGCAGGGCTCTCGGAAGGGGAAAAATGGCAAACACGGGGCTCTCGGATGCGGGACTTCAAGGAGGGTAGTCCAGCAGCGAGTCGGTCTAGCAGGGAGACTAGATCGGCCACCAAATCTATCAAGCGGGATTGAGCGCTCCCATTCCTACCACTCCTCCCTTTTTCTATCATGATTCTTACCTTCTTGGTTACCGCCAAGCCCTCACTGCTTTAACTGTTTTCCGCCCATTGGGAAATGCCTCACCTTCCTATCCTAGATTATATATGTGTTGTTTTGCGTGCTTAGGGTTAGTTTTTGATTATTCTAGATTTCAGTTTGCTGCCTTTGAAGCATTTCTTCCTTTTGAGGGTTGTATCCTACGATGAAGTGATGCTCCGGCTGTAACTCGTTCAAGGTGGTGATTGTCTATAAGTGTGCTGATGGTGCTCCGGCTGTAGCTCAACTCTGTCGAGATATTTATCCTTCCAACTCTCTTCCCCTGTTTCCTTGTTGCAAGGCCTAAACCCCTTTCCATGTTGTTGCAATAACCCCAACTGCCGCTGTAACACCTCTTCACTTTCCTAGCCTCTTGCCACTTACCTTTTTACCTTCAAACCCTCTGCCACCACCTTTCCCCTTGCTTTCCTACCGTCGCCGGCTCTAGGTTCTGCCTTCCAGGGCTGCTGACCAGCCCTTCATTGTACCTGAAGCATCCAACCTGGCCCTCCACTTACTATCCAATCATCACCCAACGTCGCCTTCCTCCCTTTGGGTGTTATTTTGTATTTGTTTGTATTTTATTTCTTGTTTTGACGAGTCTTGGTTGTAACCTTTGAATGTCAACAATAATATTTTTACGTTCTATTGTGTTTTGGGTTAACTCTGATATCATTTGTTGTTAGAACTAGCCTAACCCTAGTCATATTCCACAGTTTCCTAGTATCCGTTATAATAAAAAAAAAATTTCCCTACCACCAAATAACCTTTCCACTTCCACAATTTCTAAAACCTGACCATGCCACGTAAGAGATACACGCTCGAGCTTACCCAGGAAGAGATTTACCAATTTCAGCAGAGATTGACGGACATTGACGATGATACCCCAGAGTGACTTACCCTCAATGGTGGCAAGGAAACCATAATAGAAGAAAGGGACAAAAATTTCGACCCTTTCAATAGGGAGGATGTCAGCAATGAAGTTGAAAGGCCACGACATTTCTGAATTCAGTATAAGAGGAGGCTTGGAGTGGAGATATTAGGTGGAGGACAAAGAGACTACGAAATCAAGGTGAATCTACCATTATTTGAGGGAGGTATGGATCCAAAAAAATTATTGATTGGCTACAATCTGTTGAACGAATCTTCGACTATAAAGATGTGTCAGAGGATAAAAGGGTCAAATTAGTTGCTATCAAATTGGAGAAGAGTGTCTCTTTGTGGTGGGAAAACTTATAGAGAAAGGAAATCAGAAAACATTAATAAGACTATCAAGTGGGAGAAGATGATGAAAGCCACATAGATAAAATATCTTCCACCTCATTATCTTCAGGATATGTTTTCTGAAACTCCACAAACTACAACAGGGAGGCCTTTCCGTGGAGGAGTTCACAGCTTATTTTGACCACTTACAAATGAAATGCAAGCTAACCGAGCCAGGGGAGCACACTGTAGCTCACTATCTCGTGGGTTTAAAGCCCGGTATCAACAATGTGGTATAACTGCAGTCATATTGGTCACTTGGAGATGTCTAGACCTTAGCACTAGAAGTGGAAAGGCAGCTGAAACAGAGCAGACAACTACCACCAGTCAGACAACCATCCATAGTTGGCGACACCGACAGGAGAACATCTCAGGGAGTTGAAAAATGGTTCAGATAAGGCAGAGTCACCCTCAATGAGAAGAAACCTGAGAAGAGTAGCATGCCTACTACAATCCTCGCCAAAACATGTTTCAGATGCCATGGATTTGAGCTCATTTTCTTCAGTTGCCCAACGAGTAGAGCTGTGTCTTTTCCCGATCAGAACGCCGTGGAGGAGGTTAGCGATGAGGATAAAGCGGAGGAACAGTGTGAGGTGTACCACCTGCCACCAAGAGGAGAGACGTTTGTGGTTCGACGGATCCTACAAGCTGAGGATATGAGAGATTCACAATGGTTTCACCACACATATTCTACACTTGATGCATTGTGAACGAGAAAGTATGCAATCTCATCATCAATGAGGGGAGCAGTAAGAATGCGACATCTACGTAGATGGTGGAAAAATTGGGTCTCATGACTTAGAGGTACTCCCAACCATATCATCTGATGGTGGAAAAATTGGGTCTTATGGATGCATGTATTTTTTTTGTTAGGAAGATCGTTGCAGTTTGACGGGAGAACTCAGCACGACGGATTCAGGAATACATATTCCTTCACCAAGGATGGGAAGCGCTTCATCTTATTGCCTTCGGCGGAGCTCGAGATCACAAGAGCTCTTAATAGAAGAACATCATCTGTGGGACCAATTTTGGTGATGACAACGGATGATGGAAATGAGATACAAGCTCTAGACACCAGACATAGACGATAGAGGGCATTTTAGGATATCTGGATCGATACCTTACGACCAGCACTACCATCGTGCGGGAGGTTCGGGTTACCCCCACTTCAGACTTGATTAAGCCGGTCGTGGTTGACCTTAGGAGTATTCAACAATAGAGGTGGGACACACAGTTTAGTTTAGTAGTAGACTCCCAAAAGATTGGACTAATGCTGATGTTTGCTCGTAAGTGTAAAAAGCTCCTCAAGTGTCTTGGGGGACGGTGTAATCGTCAATGGGATCTAGGAGCTTCGTGGATCGTATTCATTGAGCCCTCAACACTAGGAAGTATGACAGCTCCATCACCAACAACAAACAGGAAAAAGCTTCGTCGAATGAGGTCAGCGAGGTTCTTAAACGCTGAAAAAGGGCAAACAGACGTGGGACTCCAAGGAGGGCTGAGTTGTGCGATTCAACAAAGATCGGTTCAACAGGGAGACTAGATCAACCACCTAATATATCAAGCAGGATTTGGCGCTCATGTTCCTACCGGTCCTCCCATTTTCTATTCTGATTCTTGCCTTTTGGTTACCACCAGCCCCTCCCTGCCTTTTCTGTTTGCCGCCCAAAGGGGAAGACCTCCGCTTTCTATCCTAGCTAATATATGTGTTGTTTTGTTTGCTTAGGGTTAGTTTTTTTATTATTCCATAATTCAGTTTGCTGCCTTTGAGGCGTTTCTCTCTTCTGAGGGCTGTATCCGATAGCAAGGTAGTGCTTCGGCTGTAAGTCATCCAAGGTGATGACCGTCTCCAAGGGTCCGGGTGGTGCTCTGGCTAGAGCTTGACCCCTTTGGTAGAAGGCATCATCTCATCTGGTTGGTTTGTTCTCAAAATTTGGTGTCAATGTCATATTCACTTTAGGTGAACGTAGTTGATATTCTTGCTCTTGCTAACCTCTTGATATTGATCACTTTATTAACTATTGATATTATCAACTAGAATTCTTTATATATTCTTGAAGGACCCCAGCCCTTTCTATTGGTGAACAAAATGATGATTATTTATCACATTCAGTTTTTTATTTAGATTGGAGTATTCAGAGTTTCAATTTTTAATTGGATTAAAGATTTTATATTTTTTCTTAATACTAGAAGGTGCATGAATCATAATCACTCATTTATTTTTACTACGCTTCAAGTTAGATGATCTGAATGAAATATTTTTCTCTCTTTTTACTCTTTTTTTTGCCGAGGATTTTCTGATAAATGTCCTTATTGTACTCATACCATTATCTAGGTAGTATAGTTTGTTTTAGAAGGAAAAATAAGTTTTCACATTTTTGCATAATTTAAAAGATTTATATAAATTGGTGGTAATTATCTATAAAAAGTAACTTTAGCATCTTATACAACACCCAATGGAAATGAATGGAGGATGAGGATTCTTGATGCTGACTATAAATAGTTGGCTATAAGGCTAATGATGATGTTGTCTGTGGAGATGAGTTCTTATATTCCTTGGAAATCATGCTATTCACCATCTCCTCCTGTCTAGGTACTATCACACATACCATCTAATATGGAGACCGTTAGGATCATGTATGGTCATATGATTTTGCATAGCTGACCCTGCTTGGTTTCCTACCAATGCAATGCTCAGATATCAGGAGCAGCTTATGCTATTGAACTTTTTTACCTCTCTGACGTAATCTTATCTTTTTTTTCTTTTTTTTTTTTTTAAATTCTACAAAAGCAAGACTTCTTCTTGGCTGTGGTTTAAAGATTTAAAAAAACCATTTAAAATATTTGGGTCAAGTTGAGGTGACTATTTCATCTCTCTTTTTCAAATTTGACTTTCCATATGTATGATTTTGATTATGGAGTGTAGTCATAAAGGCGGAAAGTTTACCATGCACTCGCTGAGACATAAGAATTGCTTAGGCTTTGCAAACAAATTCATTGGCGTGATAACTCTAAACAGTTGTCTTAAGTGCCCTTGCTCAAGTTTAATTAGCTTAATACAGTATCCAGCTGAGGTACCAAGTACTTGCAAACCCATGCTTCATCCCAATTAGTTTATTCATTGCCTATGTTGTATTCTGCTATCTAATTTGGCATCCATGTTTCTTGAAACTTTAACCTGCACAGTCATTATTCTCGCTCTAATTTTTTCTTATATCGGTGAAAATCTATAAGCTTTTTTGTGTGGACGGGAAGGTTGTGGCTATATTAGGACTTGTTCGATCATTCACATTGAGTATACTCTTTGCTTGTCTTGATGTGTCTTACTATAAATTTGTGTGCTTCTCTCCATGCAATGCATCCTAATTACTGTCAAATTGCATCAGGAAAGGAGTTCGACACTTATGCAAAAGTAGTAGTAAATGCGGCTGGACCATTTTGTGACTCTATAAGGAGAATGGCCAATAAAGAGGCACCAAACATGATTTCTCCAAGTAGCGGTGTGCACATAGTTCTTCCTGACTATTATTCTCCTGAAGGGATGGGTCTAATTGTTCCCAAGACAAAAGATGGTCGTGTTGTTTTCATGCTGCCTTGGTTAGGAAGAACAGTTGCAGGAACCACAGATTCCAACACTGTCATTACAATGCTCCCAGAACCTCATGAAGATGAAGTACGATTTATTCTGGAAGCCATCAGTGATTACCTGAGTGTTCAGGTAAATGATTCTTTCAAATGAAACTATTTAGGTTATTATCTTTTTTTTTATGTTTTGTTTTGGCATATTTGGAAGAGGTATTTGTTCTTTAAATATTTTTAGGTGTACATACAACACAATTCTTATATATGTACCTATTTAACCACCCTATGCATTCATATTTACATATAACACTCAAATCTCTTACATTACATCAAAATACCACCATCTCTACTTTTTTTAAAATGAAATACACATTTTCATGCATAGGTTTATAACACCAAGGTGTTATAAATGTAAGTATCAAACTTCGGGTGTTAGATATGTAAATATATATATAGTTATATGGTATGTATATATATTTCCCTTTTTTTATCCACCCCTTGAGAAGAATTTGGCATTGACATGGATGTCTGCTATTTTAGTCAAATTGCAAAGCCTGTTGAGCCCCACAAAAAAGAAAAAATCAGTTCGTATTCATCCAGATTTTGAGAAGTACTCGTTCCATTGTGTGATTTTTTGAAGAAAGTTTAATCTTGTCTGTGCTTTCATGCAGGTATGGGACGTCATGCATGTTTGTGCTGTTTCTAACATTGTTTTTACCTAGTATCAAATTCATATGGGACTTTGAACATTTCAGAAATATCATGCTCTATAAGGTCCCATTTTATTTCTGGGCTGAAACATAGTGAACTGTTTGAATGTTTATGCATGCATATGTAACTCTTTAGCTACACATGTAAATTTGAATTGCCTGAACTTATTGAAAGGACAATTATCAGAATTACAGACGCATAAACTTTTTTCCAACCTAGCATGAGATTCAGTAGGACTTTAGGTTCTGGTCTAGTTCATGACCTAGCCATAATGATAAGTCGGAGGCTGATGCCAACTAACCATCAAAGAAAACTACCTACGGCAGCTCAACTAATGGCGCATTTCTATTTTGAGCCTTAGCTAAAGCCTCCTTGTATAGCTTGATTTATGCACTCTACTGTATATGATCCTATAGTCAGCTTAATATTTTATAGCTTATGAGGGATATGAGAAACTCTTTTTATTTTTCTCCCTTTTTTGATAAACTCATAGAGCCGTATAAAGTGAAATTCCATCCCTTGTTAAACTTCATGAGGATAGCAATTACTCCTTGCCTCTTTTTAGAGAATCAATTTTACGACACTGAAGGTTTGGGAGGATCTTGCTATGAAGAAACAAATTTCCTCAAGACACCTCACTTGGAGTAGGAATTGCTGTCTCGATCATGCGATGTCATACTTCTTGGCCACTTAGAAGTCAAAGGCTTGGGTATGGCTACATTAGGACTATCTTTTAAGTCATTAGAATTGCATTTACTTTTTCTCTGAATGTTAGCTCCAATCTATTTCAAATACTAGTCAAATTGATAAACATCTTTTGCCCTATAATTGTTGCCCCATCTTTCTCTTTTGGTGGGATTCAAATGGTATTCTTATTGGGGATTTTGTATTTTGACCTCAGTCTATTTGAGTCTATTGTGTTGGTGGCACTTTGAAGGTGTTAGAGAGAAAATCATTTGCAAAGGTTGACATTTTTCTTGAGCCTCGACACCTTCAATAAACATCTTTGTGGAAAGGTGTTGAAGATATGGAGAGCATGGAAGACAACAATAAATACTAGATGTAAAACTCCAGAAGCTCAAGGAGTACAAAAGGCAAGTAAAAAGGAAAATAAGTTTTAAAGGAGATATAAATAAAGAAACCCTAGAGGGATATCAATGATGAATTTGAAATTTAAAGTGTCGCATTAAATTCTTTTCATATTAACATAAAGTCGAGATATCATCCTAGAAGGAATGAAGCCTCAGGAAATGCTTGTAAATTTTGAATCATTATCTTAGCATTTAAAGCTTTGTTATTATCTTCTTAGGTTAACCAAAAAAACTTTCTCTTGGGCTAATATTTTCAAAATCTTTCAACCAATATATCCTTTGGGTATCACTCACAGTCAACATGATGGCCTTGCTGAAGGCTATTAGGGGATAGTTACCATTCAAACTTAAACTTATTCACAATTTAGTTAATTCAAAAAGAAGAGTTGCATCTGAAAGAAAAAGGAAATAGATAAAAGGGCTACATATGCTTATGAGAATACATATGTTGACATTATGTGGATCGTCTACCTTGGTCCCTCACTTTTTAACATTTCTTTAGATTTTTGTGTGGACACTATGCGGCTACATATGCATATGAGAATACATATGTTGACATTATGTGGATCTTCTACCTTGGTCCCTCCCTTTTTAACATTTCTCTAGATTTTTGTATGAACTCTATGCCTGTGTCCTCCTTGCTTACTTATTTTCTCTTTTGAATCCAAAAATGCCAGGCTCTTCAAATGCTGCTCTTGGCACCATGGATATGTTATTTTTGGCTACCACTATTTTGATATTCTTAAGCATTTTTTGTTATAGAACACAAATACTTGTCTAAACGTTCATTTTTTGTACCTATCTCCAGACATTCAATTTTCATTTTGCTAAGGTAATTTGACGTTTTTAGGTCTTTGAATAAAATTTTAGTTCTCATGTTTTAAATTTCGTTGGCAGTCCCCATTAAAATTTTGATTTTGTATCATGCTCTGATTCTTTTCAGTTCTTTTGAAATGACACATCATTTTGAGCATTTATTTGAGGTGATCTTGCATTTTTTTTTCTAATTTTGTCATGCTTTGTGTCAAAAGTTTATTTATGTTCTTTATATTTCAAGTATTTTTACTTGAAATTCTAGAAGCCTTATGCCGTCTCCCCCACATAAGCGGCATCAAAATGGTTTAGGCTTGCCCACTACATCAAGAAAAACATATATGAGCTCCTTGTCAAAAATGACTTGTATAGGTCTTCTTATTTGCATGAAACTTTGTAGTTTAAGATTTCTCTGCTATGTTAAGAGAAATATGTATTGATATTATTTCTTGTTGTCCGGATCTTTGATTCCTATGCTTAGAAATACATGTATAGGTGTGATCCCCACCATACCAACAAAGGTATGTAGTGTATTGTAGTGTATTAAATAGACAAGAATATTACAATAAGAAATTTTCTTATCACATCGAAATGACGCATGCAGGTAATTAAATATCATGGTGGGTTTGCTTTTCATTTTTTGTTATACCTTGCATGCAGGATGTATTGACGACCAGCTTATCGAAGCCAAGCAGTGATAAAAAGGAGCACACTTAACTTCCTTTTTCTTTTCTTTCTTTTTTTTAAACATTTTTTTATTTTTTTGAGTACTCTTTTCATCTTCTTTCCTTTCTTTTTTCTTTAAGTTATATGTTTAAAGACTGAAATGAAGATGCAGAAAGAGAGAGACAAGTGAAGAAAGAGGAGAGAGAGAGATTGAGAGATAGAAAGAGAAAGGAGAGAGAGAGAGATTGGGTAGAGGGGGAAAGAATAAAAAAGAGACGGTGGCAGCAGAGTTGGCATTTGTGGATGAAATTAAATCCTAATTCCCCTATGTATTGCCTTAAATCCAAAATCTCACTAATTTTTTTCCTTCACGTGTTTATTGGTCTATCGATGCCTTCTCTAGTGAGCCCAATTAGCAACTTTCTCTTTTGCACTTGATGCAGATGCTAGCAATGCCTTCTGCAATGAGTTCTCATGCACTTCCTTCTTGCTACTTTGATGTGGAGGGTTTTGAGTGGAAGCGAAGGAGAGAAGATGAGGAAGAAGGTTTATGTAGTTGAGGGAAGGAGGTCAAGACCTAGAGATTCCTTTAAAAGAGAAGCACAAAACTGAGTTAAGTGTTGATGAGATGAGAATGATTAGGTGGATGAATGGTTTTACACTTAGAGACAAAATACGAAATGAATATTTTCGTGATTGGGTTGGTGTAGCTCCAATGAAGGACAAAATTAGAGACAGTCGTCTTAGATTGTTTGGTCACATTAAATGTCGGTCATTTGATGATCCAATTGGAAGAGTAGATGTTTTAGATTCGACTTATGTTAAGAAAGGCAGAGGTAGACCTAGGAAGACTTGGGTATACTGTATAAAAAATGATCTTAATTTATTAAAATTAAAAGAAAATTTGACACTAAATAGGACGCAGTGGAGCACAAGAATTGTTGTGGCTGACCCCACTTAGTGGGATAAAGGTTTTGTTGTTGTTGTTGTTGTAAATAGAGTTGGACATCTGTCTTTGTTGTGAGGGCATATGGTGTAGGTATGGGCATGTCTGGGTTTGGTAAGGAAGGTTTTTTTTTAATGAAGTTGAAAGAAACAAAGCCAATAATGGTTTTTTTTATTGGCATGCTGGTAAAGTTGGAGTGGTGGCAACAGCAATAGTTGAGGGTTGAGTAAATAAATTTGAAATTTAATGTAAATAATTTTCTTAATTTAAATATAAAGTTAAGACTATATTTTATGTGGCGGGTAGCTATTAATAAGATAGTTAAAGGTTTTCTAAGTAGGTTTGGTTTCAAATACAGATAAATTTGAATTCAAATTTAAAGCTCATGGTTTAAGTCACAAGACAGTTATATAGATGTGCAATGTGCCAACTCAAATGCCGTATAACCTACTTTAGCATCTGTTATGATATAGATATGAACATATATGGGCAAATGCGCAATACATAGAGGGAGAAATGTTATTGCCCTATGGGCAAGCTTTCTTTTACCAACCAATACAAATTTTAATGCAGACTCTAAAATATAATGAAAACCATTGATCTTAACGTATCCTATACACATTTCTATTGAATAAGTTTCATAAGATTCTATATAGATTTTGTACAAATATTGATTTTAAAAAAGTGCACTCGAGTGATTTTTGAAAGCAACGTGATTAATGTTATTTTTAATGCAAATTTAAGCTTACATACAAATATCATACCATTTGAATAACTCATTGAAAATACAAATATTCTATCACACTATTAGGATCATCCATCAAGAATAGTTTTGAATGATCTAGGCCTCAAGCATATAGACAGCACTTTAGTGAATAATCTTGGCAGAGGAGAAATGATTTTTTGGCCAATTCTAGACAATCTCATCAATGGTTTACAAAGGGAATAAACTCTTAATTAATTTTCCGATAGTATTAATTATGTATTACAAGTTTTACATGAGGGATCATTTTGGATCAGTTTTGTGCTGTCGGGGGATGAGAAAAATGTTATTCTTTGGGACTAATTTAACTACATATGAATGATTTTGTAGTTGTTTTGAGATTTGAACAATGATCAATATAAGCTAGAATTGTGCACTCTCATAATAATAACAAAGCATTCCTTTTTCATAGTAGTCGATTGTACCATGAACTGGCAATCTCAACAGCCATTTCAGAAGGTGATGTTGGTCGCCTTAGGGTAACCTCATGAGTAGCCAATGTATTAACCACTTTTGGGGACAATTCAAAAATAAATCACCTGCTCCACTTATAAATTCACATATTTGACTAAGGGGATAAACAACTGATTTCCACTCACATTATGATATTTAAGCCTATTGAGCGCACCGCATGGAGGAAGGAAAGGCAGACAAAGAAATGAAGTGAAGTAAAGCCTGAGGTGGGTGGTAGAAGGAACTTAATATAGACTCAATCTTTCTTTGAGAAATGGATACAATTAAGTAGCTAGGGCTTTATCTTTGGTACTGGATATGAAAGACTAGTACAGGTACTCTAAAATATTATCATCTAATAAAGAATTAAATGTGTGGTATCCAACTCTACTAATGAAGCCTTGCTCAATCCCATGCTCTGCTCTTGACTCGAGCTCACTTGTGTTCTGGGCAATAACAATTTCGCATTGCAGGGGGGGTGGGGGCGATGAAGCAAAGACAACTGTGTGCAAGGTACGGAGCCTTTGAGCTCCTAGTAATCTCATTTGGATTGACTAATGCTCTTAATCCATTTTATACTCTTATGAATGAGATTTCCCATGAAAAATTCGTTGTTATGTACTTGGACGACATTGTTGTGTGTAGCCAAATTTTGAAGAAATTGTACGGTACAAAATTACATAATAACCAAAGAATGTCAAGCTCTTTTCTTTGTGTAGATCTTATTTTAATAGGAGCTTGATGAGTCGATCTGCTATATGTCGTGCTTTTACTGTTATATTGGGATTTAGTCCTTGTATTGTTTGACATAAAATAGATAGTAGATTTGCTTCTGCCTTTTGTTGAATCCTTTTCATGGCTATCCAATAGGCGTGTTATTCATATTTTAGTTGTTTATGTGTGTATCCAAAGCATAGAGAATTTTACATACACGAATCTTAAAATGCTTAAAGCAATTCAACTAGGATTTTATTTTGAAAATAAATTCCCTTCTATTATTGTTTAGTATCAATTATATTGATTATATATTTGAATGTTCTTACCATTAAAACGATTTGCATTTAGAGTATGTGTATTGTTCATATGCTCTTGCCAAATCAATATCAAATATTTCCATCAGCTCCTTACTTGAGTGGTGTTGCCTTTAATTTTTAAAGTGGAGGTCTAAGGCTTGATTTTTTGCAAAATAAATAAGTATTCAATTGTTATTAATGAAATGGTATTCAAATTCTTGACATTTTTTCATTCAGAATTTTTGGCAATGGAGCTTAGCTGACATAACACTAAATCACATGAATTATATTTGTACCCTTTATAAAATAAATAAAATTGAACTTTATTGCATTAACAGGCATGGTTTAAGTTTGTGATCCATTTCTTCCATGTTATTTCAGGTTAGGCGTTCTGATGTCCTGTCAGCTTGGAGTGGTATCCGCCCCTTAGCCGTGGATCCATCAGCCAAAAACACTGAGAGTCTATCTAGAGATCATGTCGTCCATGTCGATCATTCTGGTTTGATCACCATTACTGGGGGAAAGTGGACGACTTATAGAAGGTATGGTTTAATGTTCATCTATTTTTGATGTAAAACACTTGGACACGAGACTATTATTTTGTGAGATATGCTCCCTTATAACACGACTAATGTCATATTTGATTGGCAAATCTAGTTCTCTCATTTTTTGTCCATGTTATCTATGAACTGCTGTACTTATTTTTCTCTTATGTCACATTATGCTTTCTTACTAGTTTTGACTAGTGCTGTGCTTAAGCAGGCTTATCCTGTGTGATTGTTTTGGATTAGCCAATTGTCTTTAATTATCCATTATTGTATCTTTTGAATTTCTTTTTGGATATGTTTGATCTGTTCTTTGTAGTTATCGGTATGTTATTCAGGTAGATAGGAGATTGGGAACTCATAAGAAAGCATTGCTGCTTCCTAGTTAAACAACCCGCTGAAGTTCTTGGAATCTAACTTGACTTAATAATTGCTAAATAGCAGAAATTTTGTGCACATGACTAGATACCTGAATGTGATTGTAGACTTTAAGTTGATGTGCATTTTGACACTATGCCTTATTTTTGTTTTTGTGTTGGAATTTGAATTACAAACCCTGCATAAAAGATTGCCACATTAGCTGTATAGTCTACTTATGCTCTATATTTTTTTAAGCTTTCCGAGGTCCTAATATATGGTGGATGCGAGCATATCAAAAAGGTGCTATCGACAGATATATTCAAAGTATTGTCATTTATGGGGTATTTTTGCCCCTTGCTTCTAGTTCCATTGACGCATAGGTGGCATAGAAGAGGTATAGTTCAAGTAAAAAGTTATAAGGCTCTGCAGTATAATTTCATGCTTGTTATAAGTGTTAGATTAATTAAAAACGAAAGAATATAGAGATGATAGAGTGTCACTGGCTCTATATAGAGCCTAAAGCTTTCCAAAGACATTCAGGGAACACGTGATGCTTTAGTTGAAAAATTTGACACTTTCACTAGACCCTTCATTTTCTAGAATCGGGTAGAAGCATGGGATAAAGAAGAAAGTTCTCTACTATGGTATATTTACCATTCTTATGATTTATAGTCTAATCTCGGTTTACACTTTCTTTAGCCTCCTCTTCCTTGTAGAATGTGAGATGAGGAGGTGATATAGGACTACAATATTATCTCGAACTTCTACTTCTAGGACTCATGGCAAGTGGGAATTGGTACCATATGCCTCCACTTTCATGATCAATTGATGGTAATTTGGTATGAATCTTGAATCTATCCTTTCTTGTTGAGTAATGTTGATGATGTGATAGTCGTATATTTGGCGATATTATTGATGCTATTTGTCAGTTGTTTTGGTGATGTCATTGCTTCTCCTTATCTTTCGTCTAGAATATTTACAATGGTCAGGTTATGAATTGACCTAATTTGAGTAACAATCCCATTAACATGATAAATAGACTAATTTTTAGATCAAAAAACCCTTATTGATGCTTTTATAGCAAGGTTGGTTGGATCCGATTTGAGGTCAACCCAACCTAATTAAGAATCAACCCAGTGGTCTTTATTTTAAAAAACAAAGACAAATTTCATGTATGTGCCTTAATTATTATAAATTTTATTAGTTAGTTGAATAGAATTCAGCTTCTGTTGCATAATCATATGCATTTATCAGTTATATTACCTCCTAGAGTTTATTTTATGCTTGTGTTCGTGGATCTTGCTATTGTGAAAGTGGGGTGTGCTTTATGTCGATTTGGATGGCAACTAATTGATTTGAGAAGATCATAAAATTCGAAGGAATTGAACTAGAAATAATTTGGTTTAATTGTTTCCGTTTGATTTGGATAAATCAAAGTTAGTTGCATTGCATTAATTGCATTGTTTATGTAAATTATGCAAATTTTATTACTTGATTGATAAACAATAAGCATGGTTAAATCAAATAATTATAAAAGAAATTTAATTTTAAAATTCTTGATTGCAAAAGCATAGTTAAAATCATATGCTATGATTGAACTCCATTTTTTCATTTTATCAAAAATTTTGAATCAATAACCAATTCAATAATAGAAAGCCACATATTTTAACAATTTCAACTGTTATCTGAAACATTAACTTAAAAATCAAATCGAAGCATTGTTTTGGATGGTTCGATTTAATTTTTAATTCATAACCAAATAAGGCACACCCTTGCTGCAAGTTTTTTTTTTTTTTTTAATTATTATTAGTGAAAGTTCCTAAAGCTGTCCCATGTTGAAGTTTATTTAATAATTTGTTGGACCTAGTTTATCTTTTATGTCTGCATCAATTATATTGTGATTTTCTGCATTTCTGTTTTTATGGGTGAACTATCATCTCCCGATCTTTGGATTATTTTCTTGATAAGATCAAGATAATACTATTAAGCCCAAAAGGATTATTCTTAACATGATCATGAGGAGGACCTCAATCTCTTTCTAAATTTTTGCAATCTATTCTAAATGAATATTCACCTTTCCTTTCTATAGGGACACTATGCACTTTTGGGGACGTAAAATTCCCTAAAGTAAGTGTTAGAGTATATTTGAGTCCACTACAACTCAATTTAAATTTCAATCAAACCAATATTTTTTATCAGATTTTAAGTTTTTTGTGTGATACAAATGATATTATAATTTTTATTATGCATATTGATAGAAAATATATACATTGAATATTTTTTTCGGGAAAGTTGAGCCCAAAAGGCAATTTGCGTGATTCGAACACACCCAACCACTATGTTGCGGGTAAGTTCGATACATTGCATATTTTGATTATATATTTTATTGTATTAATAACTTATAGAAAATAGTATCCATGGCATGTTGTGCTTTTTTACGGTTATGCCATATGTGTCATGAATTTTTCTAAAGTTGGGGTTTGGTGATGTTCTCTCTCACTTTCTCTTTAAGCCATCAAAATCCGAGTTTACAATAACAACCCTTAATAAGATTTTTATATGCAATGATGTGCCATAGACAAACACTTCTTCAATATTCATTATAAAGATGATCAAGGAGGCTAAAGGCCATGACACCCTTCTCCCATACCCCCATCTAGCATGTTCTTGCCTATAAGCACTTCCAACCACTTAATGGTTTATCCAGTGTGGCGTCATCAAGTTCTAACCATCTTAATGGACTTAAAACCAGGGAACCCACTGTATCCTTGTTTGCAAAGAGCTTCTCTTGATTGATAGACATTCTTTTCATGGTTTGGTTGAGCTGAATCAACCAAGGTTGGCCAATTTAGTTTTGGGAAAAAGTTTTTAAATAGCCTTTGTTACGCATTCTTAAAAGACAAATTGACTTGCTTCATGGTTCTTATTTGATTTTTCCCCTGATCCCCTTCTTGTAGTCCTTAATTTGACAACAAACACTTTTGATTAGTTCTATTTTATTTGTGCATTTGGCCTGCAGATAGGACCTTACGTTGAGCAAAGAATTTATAGCAAGTAATTTTTAGCGAGGTTCCTTTCAATTTTTCTTGGTGTGTGATATCAAGTACTAAGTATTGAGTAAATTCTCAAAGAAATACCCATTTAGGTCTAGTCTGTGTTGACCTCATTTTTAGTGAGGTCTAGTCTTCCTCTTAGGATTTAGGATCTAGCCTTAGGGTTCTCCCTTTGACTATCGTAGAGCCTTAGAAATGGGACCCGCCTCATTTTAAAAATCTAACATACTTATGTACCCTTTTCCCTTTTGGAGTTTCGCATGTGTGGTATCGGCTTCTGGCACTTAGGAGGTTGAAACCAACATGAGGAAACCGAAAAGGAGTTCCTATAGGATCATTAAGCCCTAGGGTTGCCTCTTGCACAATTTGCACATGCGCGCACACAAACTTCACGATTCGTTTAGTCGACACGATTAAATATCACAATTCATATCGCTTGCATCGTTATCTGTCAAGAACTTGAATAAACTTTTGAGACGATCGATCGCAGGTCAAAATTTCATAAAATTAAATTTGACATATTTTTTGTCAGATCGTCGACGGGGTTGTCCGAACGACCCCGGATGACGAAACGGACTGCGTCAGTGCGTCCGGAACGTCGGTTTTGCCTAAAGGAGACGTTCATTTTGTTGTGAGAACATGTCCGGGAGAAAATGCATAAAATGGAGCAATATTATAATAATAATAATATTATTATTATTATTATTATTGTTTTGTTATTATTATAATATAACATTTCGTTTTTGTTTCCTCCTAAAAGGGCCCTAAATCCATAAATCGATCGCACGCCTCCCTCTCCCGTTCGCGAGTCCTGCCCCTTCCTTTCGTTCGCGAGACTGACCGAGCCCCCTTCCCTTTCGCGGTTCATCCTGATCGCTGCCATAGCCGAGCAGCCCTCTCTCCGACAAGAAGCTTTGGCCGAGGTCCCCCCATCCGCGTGCTTTCGTGCTCTGATAAAGCTTCCACCTGCTCCCTCCTCTGCCTTAAAGCTTCGCCTCTGTCGTCGTCTTCCCCCCACTCGACTCTTGTCGCTTCTCTTGGCTCGGCTGACCGCCCAGGTAGGTGAAGGTAACTCCTCCTCCCCCTTTGCTATAAAAACCTCACTTGGGGAATGTTTTAAGGGTTGGCCGAAAATTTGGAGAGGGGGAGGTGCTACCGATTTGTTTTTTTGAGCTGGTGTTCACGGGAATGATGTAGCTTGTTCCCTATGCTTTCTTCTATATCAACAAGTGAGGTTTGGGATTATTGCACCTTTCTAGCTGTTCATTTTATTCAGTTGAAGTCTCATTGCAATATTCTTATGATTTATTTTCTTGCTTACTATGACATTTATCTCTTGAAGTTTAATTACTTAGAAAGTCATGATATCAGGAAAGAAGCAGTTATATTAAATATATATATCGTTCCCTTTGTTTTCTTGGTCAGAATGCTTTGAAATTCAGTAAATAAAAATGCTTTAAGTGTTACACATGCAATTGCCCCTTTAAGATACAGCGAGCAGTTGTTTTAAAGTCATGAATTGGGTGGCGCGTAAGTGGATACTGGCTATAATTTGTATAGAATTTGGAGGTAACTGTTCTATTT